CCCCCTCGTGTTCTCTATCATTACCATGGGCGCTTGCCCAAATAATCCCGCCATGTTTCCTGTTTTGGAAGGCGGTCCACCAGTCGGTACTCCCCCCACTGCAAATCCTTTCCTTACTTCACGAAGTTGTTCCTGAAGTGTCTCAATGACTCGAGCTTGTTGTTGGATCATTACTACCGACTCTTGAGAGTGTGCCGATTCGACGGCCATGCCAGGTTGGTTCGTCTGAGCTCCCGTTACAAAGGGAGTTCCAAAAGGAGCTTCCTGCGGGGGTACTGCCTCCTCATGAACTGCCAACATTCTTCGCTGGTTCGGACCCCTTTGATTCTCCGCTCCCACTGCCTGAGACTGCATCGATACCGACCCTTGATAGGGTATGACTGATGGATTGCTCAGTCTTGGAGGAACGTGTACAGGGTTGGAAACCAGCCAAGCTGTCAGATCTTGTCCGGAGATCCAGGATGAATGTTGCTTGCCATCCATCGTTACCTCGCCAAACTGGTATCGCTGCGTCGAAACTGGAGTTACCGGTTTCGTTTGCAGGTTAACTCTGGGGAGAGGAGTTGAATTTTGAATCAAGGCATGTACCGTGGGGGAGGTCCCCGAGCGTAACTGGGGGCTCCTCATGGCCGTGTTACCGGGGTTAAGAAATTCAGGAACCTCAATATTTCTGGGCGATGAATGTTTCTGTGCCAGGAAATGACCATCAGATCCATGGAGCTGCCTTTTCTGGTCAAATTGCTCCGGGGGGAACTCCCCTACATTCTCTGGTTCGCATTGAACCATATACGAGGTTCCCCAATTATCCGCGACCAGTCTGCGACGGAATTCCAAAGCTCTTTCTAGATTCGATCCAGAAAGTTCCTCCGACTGCATCAGAGTGTCTGATTCCGCTAGTAACGTCCGGTGTCGGGTCTCCTGCGAACACAACATCGCTTCAGACTCCTCACTCCTCACCAGAAGCTGGTGCATATGCCTCATGGGCGTGTATGTGTACACCGTCTGTCTCCTACGGACCCGAACAGGACTATCCTGATCAGGCATTGACTCCACTGAGGCCAGGAGGTGAGCCGTGGTGTATCTCCTGCGTCTACGATTTTTTGCAGCGATTGTCGCGACGAGGCAGGAAGCGGGAGGTGGGAGGTCCAGATATGCCTAGGAGCGACAGTGGCAGAGCGAAGAGGCACAGAAACAAGCACAAAGCACAGATGAAAGAAATAATGATCTCGAACAACAGTGGGATAGCGTCAAAGGCCAATCACACCAGTAATCAAAAGGGAATCTAGTTGCCCAATGACCAAGTTAGATAGGTAGTATCTAAAAGGATACAAGTACTTGCCTAGTTGCCCAATGACCAAGAGGTCGAGATGGGGAACTAGGGCCTGTCTACTGTCCTTTATATACTACTCTTGTCTACTGAGTAAGCGATTGTAAATAACGATGCAATATAGAACAAGAGTGAGGAATCAATATATACGAGTAATAATGAGTCGATAATGAACCATAATGAACTAATTGATGAATAAGGATGAGTTGTATGGAAGCGTACGGAAACAAATGGAACTAATGGGATGATCATGTGATGAAGTACAATAAACATGTGGAAACAGATTGATGGGAACACACCGCGCTGATGGCGCATCAAAGGGCGCATCATGAGACTTCATGACAGCAATTGCATTGACATCCTCGTTACTTTCTTCATTGATTTTAGCTGCCGCCGCCACTAGATTTGCACTCCGAAGTATCTGGATAGCCTGGTAGTTCGGGATATTGACCCTCGAAGGGGGAGGTTTGAATCATATGGCTCCTGATCTGGAATTAGATGCTCGGTAAAATATACACAGCCCTGCTTCACCACAGAAATCCTTTTCTTTTCCATGGGTATGAGGGAGGAGGGGAAATATTCCCCTCGAGTTTCGGACCGATCGCCCATAACGAGCCTCTGCCTCTAGCAATTCTAACATCCATTCCGGGTCCAGTAGGACGTTGTACAACCAGAGGAAGTCTGATCGGTTCGCCGGGGTCATCAGCCACTGTTGAGCTTTCTCTGGGAGGTCTATTTCTAGTTGAGTTCCCACCATTAGGAACTGTACCCGTAGGTCTGAAAATTCGAGACTGTCTACCAATACTTCGATCCCCATCGACTCTAATACCTGTCGTAAGACCATAGCTACGTCCTCCGAGAGGCACTCCTGGATTCTAATAACGTCTTCCAGTCGCAACGTCATCTCCAATAATGGTTGCACTGGGAAGTTAGTCCTGCTATGATGGAAAGCGTGAGTACGCTCCCAGTTAGGCGTATTCATAGCTGGACTCTTCAAGAGGCCGGAGAGCGAACTTCCTTGTCTCGGGGGAGGAAGGTTAAGGGACTGTACAGGAGGAGTCGGTAGCCTCCTGGATGACGTTCGAGACTGTTCAGAGACTGCAGGTAATACCCTCCTCTCCAGAAGTTTCTCCTGTTGTCTTACTGTAAGGGGATCCATATTCTCCCCTTGTATCCTTTCTATAGTGGCTACTTGGCTGCTGACTCTTCCACCCGCGTTCGAAGCTGACTCCATGTCTAGCTGCGGCACCGGTCCAGGAGGAGTTCCTCTTGTTCCCCAGGTAGGGGAGTAGGCGGAACCTCCCATGGGACTACTGGCAGGTTGGGCATAACCCATGGAGGTATACCTCCGTTGTGGTGGTCCCATCCCAGGTTCCACTGGAGGGGGCTCCTGAACCGCAGGTTGACGTCCCTTGGGGGTCCTTATGTTGCTAGCGTTTTCATTCCCGAACGACTGTTCTGGGATGGACATCAGGCGTTGTCCAGCTGCCACCGTGATGACAGTGGAGCTAGCAGCCTGGTTCGACTTTTGAGCTTGTGTTGTGTTTCCATGAGATAAGGCGCTCTTTTGTTTCTTTGATTCGATCTTGGAACTAGAAGGTCGTTCCGTTGACGTCGCAGACATTTCGTCGCAAGGACTCCATTCGGTGACGGGAGAGCTTGGTATAATGTAAGACCTGGGTCGGAATGGGTCTTATGGTAGGGATTGGTATATGAGGGTTTATGTTGTAGCGTGCTAGGAGCAGGCTGGAGATTGAAGGGAGCTACAGGAACCGCGACCGAGGATGGGAATGACCTAGTAGTGGCTGGAACGACAAGATGGTGACCCTTGAGGGGGTTCCTAGGAGGTCCAGGGAGGTCCCTAAGGCGTAGGGAAGTTAGGTAACAGTGCGGGACCTTATGATATTGCGTAGTAGGAGTTGTACTCGCTAGAACGTCAATATAGGATCAAGTAGGTCGTAGATGTAAATGGGTCTTGAGGGTGTAAGCTCCAGAGAAGGTATATGCCTGGGAGGATAGCACCCTGGGGACTGGGCTTGAGGATGGATGTCCTCGAGTGTGGGAGGTGGTAACGGAGAAGTGATACGTAGTTCGACGTGAGAGGTAATTTCGACATTAATTAGACCAAGGTCCCGAAGCTTACAAAGTAGCTAGGGAGTTCTGGGAGGTTTGGGAAAGGGTAGCTCACCAAAGTGTTTAGGCATTGGGGAGCTTTAGTAATGTTCGAGGGAGCTCGGAGACTCACTTGGATGGCTTAGACTTGAAGCAAAAGCGTATATTTGATGGTATAGACGATCAGAGAGACAATAGACGAGAGTAAAGAGAAACAGAGGTAGAGAAACAGAGAGTAAAGAGAATTCCGTATAGGTAGCAGGTACAAAGGAACAGGGACTGGACCTATGTAAAGGGTGTGTGTTCAAAATATACCGAGCTGGGCTTCTGGACGCAACTGGACTGCTTAAATACATATGGGGAAGTTAACAAAGAGACATAGTAAGAAATGAGCACTTAATGGGGTTTCTAAGTACATGAGGACGGAATGATGGGCGCATGTACAGGGTTCCAGGACCCTGTCGTGGAGTGGTTCAGTTGAATTGAGGGGAACTAAGGACTGTGGAGGTTGTTCTAGCAGTAAGGAGCTCTGCGGGACATTGGGAGTGTTCTCAGGGATTCAGAGGAGGGGGCTGAGGAGGTTGGGAACTATGTTAAGGAGCTTGTGAGTTATGCGATCCGGAGCAAGGCATGACATCAAGAAATAGACAGTAATCATCTGAGCATGAAGCTCCCAGCCTAGATCACAAAAGCATGTATTGAGAGAGAAAGTAGTTAGTACATCCAGGTGAGCTCTTGAGTGCAGGCGATGTTTACCGCGGTGTTCCAATCCTTCGTGCATCGTTTTATACAGTTCAGATGCTTCTCATGTGGGAACATAAACTCTCAACCACTACTCGCAATTTTATGCGTGCTGGATGTACTATAGTTGATTTTACCACAATTGCGTTGTGAAAGCTGTAGCCAGAGACTTTATCTGAAAATGGAAACGGACGCCGCGCCGTATCTCCCACATAAACAACTTTGTCTGCTACTTGGTATTTGCACTTCATGGTAGAGACGCTTACTGATTCATTCATTACGGAACCCTGAGGGGCTACATGATTACCTTGCTCATCCTTCAGCTTCGCCATGCCGATGTTCATTTGACCCCCGGGAATGTGCTATTAAGTGCATTTCTATATGTCGTCCGAGGAACTGAAGGTGTCTGTGACACCTTCGACTAAGATCAAGACACTAAACTACGTCAAACCTCATTGTCCTCGAATCCTCCCGCAGACTCTTTGTTCAGATACAAATGTCTTTCGCTCTTACCGAACCCGCCCGAAAAAGGCATTCCTTATGCTCTTCTCTGATTCTTCCATTGCTTATCCTCCTGTTGTTGGATCGACTTGTCGTCGTGGTTCGAATGAAGCTCTCACTTGGAGAGATATAGACTTCTATCTTATACTTGACAAGGATGCACTTTGTTCCTCATTTCATAAAAAAAATTATCCTCAAAGAGAGCCCTCTCGAGCCTCGGCCCAAAAATGTATTGGACAAATAACTAAAAATGAACAGCAATAAACACTTGGTGAAAAATCCATACAACCAAACTATTTCGCAAAGCACTGTACAGTCAACTCCCTCTTAACCCATACCCCTATAAACCCATACTCCCTTATACTCCATACATTTCCCGGGTTACCAACCTCGTTTGCAGGGAAATGCCATGCATAACCCATAACTCTCCCATACCCTATAATCCATACCTTTTGGGGGGTAATCTCCACTATATTTTTACCCATAACCCATACCTTGATTGCTATCATTGCATATGATACTCCCAAAATGGGATCAGTAAGTAGACAATTGGCACAAAATTAATACAAAACCAATAGAATGGTCGATTTACACTAATTTTGAGCTAACATAACCCATGTATGGGGTGTTACAGCTCCCGATTAGGCAAATTGTCACGTATGTCACATTGTGTGACCACCCCATAAACCCATACTCTCCCATAACCCATAGATCTGGACCTCCACGGAGGGGTATGGGTTAAGAGGGAGTCGACTGTACCTGATTTTGGGCCTTTCCGTTATTGTATAGGTTGCACCCCTTGATGTGAGTGATACTACTTAATTCAATATGAACTAGAATTCTGATTTCAGATCGGATGCTCTCTCAGGCCAGTACAAGCTACGAGGCATCCAAAGTTCACTTGGACGTACGTGAAGCTCCTATAGCAATCCAGCTTGTTCAGTAGGCGAGGATCAGGGCACCAATTGTTCTGGTGGATCTTTCTTGGCGTCGCAGTGGCAGAAAATTCACTGTTCATTTCCCAACCACAGACCGTTTATTTTCGAGATGTTTTCCTTCCCTTGACAATCACAACAGAGGAGATCGAATACCCTGTCGGCTCAGAGTGGCCTTTCCTGACAATAATCAACAACCAGTTGAATTCTGATGACGCAAGAATGGTCTTACACTAAATACTCACTCTTTACCATCATAATCTCGCGCGCGCTTAATCGGAAATTTAGACTTCCACATCGACCCTATATTCTGCTACCTCGTACTTTAAGTCCCACTAAGTCATCGTCGTCTACCCTAGTCGGGTCTCCAATTGTTTTCCCTCAAACTCTGCCAATGTGGATGAGGCCCTGTTGAGCTGTACGGTCGCTGCAACACACCCCAGCCGATTTTCACCCAATTCCCCCCTAGATAACCGTAACGACGAAGACCATCCTCTTGCCTACGATGATCGCGACTACGACCACTGTACAAATGAGATCGGAGGCTCGCAAATTCTTCAAGAGGAGGGGACAGATAATGACGTGCCTCACATGGCTCAGGACAGTGAATTTCTAATCACTGATAGCTCCACTCGACAGTCTGGACCACCCGTAGTGGCACCCGATCTGGCAGCATTTGGCATTCCGTATGCTCCAGCTCAGTGGCATGCTGCATCGTCGTGCTCAGTACAGTCGAACAATGAATAAGTCCGCCTCCCCCCACATACCCTCTCTTTTGACTCCGTTACCTTCTTCCCCTCGGAGCATAGCGAGCCAATCCTCTGTTAGGGGCACATCAGTGGCTCCCACTTGTGCACGTCTCCAACCCCATCCTTCTCAAAGTCGCCGCGTATGTAAGTCTGGTACCATGTCCACCACGCGTAAACCAAAGGATCCGGACAACGCTCCTCGCACAGTTACCTACTCTCTCTCTCTCTCTCCGGAACCGGAACAAAGACTGACGGTTGTCAAGAAAACCAACTCCAACCAGATTCTTCGGGTGGAGAATAACATCGTCCGGGTCGAGCAGTCAACCCAATGCATGGCGGATGATATCCGTTCCTCAATGCTTTATGGCATTCGCATCACATCGGCACGAGCTCCCGAAGGATACCACGGCGAAATTGGACACGAGAATATCGAACACTCTGTGGCAGGAAATAACCAACATCGCTTCTACGGAACTCAATCGGCTGAAGCCAAACATTGTCCCACGCCTAACATCTTTCCTACCCGTCGACACTATCAATGACCTTCTATCCTCTATGGAGAATATGCTCAGCTCCTCCACCACTCCCCTTCGTGCGCATTCATCTCTCCATCTGCCCTCTCGCCCCATCGAACACCCGTTCGCACCCCCTAAACCTGTTCCTTATTCACAACGTATGCCTTCCCGATCTCCCCCATCTTCCTCAGCCTCCTTGCTGACTCGTTTATGAAACGGATCCTCAACGACGCAATCAGTACTCATTTTCTCCGGTAAACAACAACCTCTTGTCACCCAATGCCAATGCCCATCAGCCGCTATCTGATTCTTCAATCCTGGCTCGTAAACGACGTGTCGACAATGAGGATGCCAACAACAGAGACCCTAAACGTCATCGTTACGATGCTCGGTCTGCTCACATTGTTACCATCGACCTTCTACCCAACTGGGAACCTCTCCCCACCCCTATCGGCTACATTTTTTACATGTACAACACTTGGTCTACCGAATTAGATGCTGTCGCGCAGATACTGCTACCACGCGTTGGTGACGTAACTCGTGTTGGCCCTGTCGACTCCGCTCCCCTTTCTGTAAGCAAGGTACTGAAAAATTTCTTGCCGCCTGTAATACCCAGCTTGATCCCTATTTCTTCCTCGTTACCCACCTGCGAGCAGTTTATTCCATATAGTCAACAATAGCATGATGCCATCATAAAAGGAAAGAAGTCTTGATCAAAGAACTCGGTACAAATTTAACATCTCTTTCGAGTTAGAGTATCAACCCATCCGTTCGTTGGCCATACTATACACCACAGAGGGACTTTTCAGACCATTTCTGACTTCATGGATGTTCTACTGTAATAGCATTTTGCCTCCCACCCACGTCAAGGTTCAAACAATATGACGACCGCGTGTTTTGCGCCTGGACCAACTATCCGGGAACAAAGAAAGGACTTCCGAGCTCAAAATGGCCAGATCCCAATAAATGATTGATTCTGCGCATGTACTTATACTCAACGTTCGTTGAAGTATTCACACAGATATCTGCCCTTTCTGTTAAATCGCAGTCGTATGCGGGCCCGGGATGATCCCAAAAATGAGCCAGTTGGTTGTAAGATCATTTCATATCAGAAAATTGAACCGAAGAACAAATTGTAACAAAAGGTCTGCGTTTTGACCTCAATATTGAAAACAACATACGCGCTGAGTTAGATTCCGTCATGTTTCGCGTCTGGCAAAAAAACCCCGGCTCTAACACCTGATTACTCTGCTACAACCATTTCTCTGCAGGTTTAAATGTCCATTGCACCCCTATCTATACCTCCCAACGCGTTGAAGAGACTGCTGGAGTTAACTACAGGTCCCTAATGTTTTTAAGATATCCTATACTGAATAAGGAATAACTCACCATACGAAAATGCTTCAGAGGCACGCTTAATGTTGCATACATATTCTGCAGTATAAGCGTCACCACATACAACGTCGAACGAGTTCAATTCTTCACAATATGAGCCACGATGAGTAGGGGTACCTGACTCGACCGTGTACTGCTCATGCCAGTTGTCCGTATTCTGCATATACACCGAATTCCAACCGCCGTCAGATAACTGCGAGGAATTATAACGGTGTATCGAATCCGATGAGGGAAAATTGTCCTTGTATGACGTACGGACATTGTCGACCATCGTTGCACGCTGTATAGATTTATTTACGATTCATACCAAACATCAAATCCAACAACGGACATAGCTTACTACAACGTTCTCTTCACCTATCACATAACTTTCCGAATCGTCCGTAACATCTAACGTGGATGATGTTACGACCGACTCATCTTCGCGATTCGTGATGCCCACCTGCGGGATAATTAATAGTATACAAGATAATGAAACAAAAATGCGTACAGTGTCTCGATGTACAAGCTGATCCTTGTAATTATAATCTTCAACTTCCTTTGCCGCGGAATATTTCATTGGATCGACCACAGTTCTTGAACTAATGAGATTTGTCCTAACTGCGATGTGTTCTCCTACATCTTCCTAAGGTTTAACGATTAGCCATATATAGAGACAGTTACAAATCCGCGAAGATCTTGCCATTTTTTCATCCAAACCATCCACGTCTCCTTTTGTCTCGCAGGAACCCACTGACTTAAAACCTACATCAACCTATACCAACAATCAACCCATCTAAATGACACACGAGCTCATGCATATGAAAAATATGCGAACCTCTGTCATCCGTTGTAATCGTTTTTGTTTTTTTGCCTTGCAATACCATCGCGATAACTGTTCGTATTGCTGCTCGTTCAATTCCATAGCATCTGCGATACGAAGTTGTGTAACAACTGCAACGCGACTACATCGACTATTAGGCATACACGCCGTACATCTGATGCTAGTAGAGGTATTGCATGTTTTACCAGCGGCCTTGCATCGTTTGCAAATCTACACCAAGCATAATACTCGATGGATACATAGGATAAAATCAGAAAAAAAAATAACTTACGATGTTCTTATATTTTTGATTAAGAGCTATTCTTTCTTCTGTTGTCCCATACTTTCTACGCAATGCAGCAAAGACGTTACACAATTCTTCAGTCATCCAACCGTCCTGTGCACCAGCGTCACCAAAATTGGTTACAACCCTTTCCTGCAAGAGTTCACTGTCACTGGCCGAACAGTTGAGCCCATGCCTTGCAGACATCGTCTACGATGATGAGAATAACTAACAAAGAAGGATGGATGTGAACGCCGCTTGACTTCTTACAGTTGGCTTATAAGAAAAAAAAATACTTCTCCAATTTACCTTATTCTACCATATTGAGTTTAAAAAACCAATGCAAACTCTCACCTGCCTTGTGGCAGTATCTGTTCCGTTATTAGCTCGGTATAGGAAAAAAATCAGACTGCACCGCATCGCAAATCCATGAATCGCAATCGAACGGAGTTAAAGTCGTTAACTCATCCACATTTCCCTTGCCGGACGAAGTAGGCTCACCAGCGAATGCGTGTTATTCAGAACATCAGGATCTGAACATTTCCGCGTTGAACGATGAAGGAGTTCTTAAGGTTCCCAACGGATGCACATATAAGCTGCATTCACTTTACTCGCCATGGTCCTTTCTTTCTCAATATTATTAGCGCGCGCCAAATCGTCATACGGTTTCAGCGTTAATCTGAGATCTTCAACAAATCATTCTTTCATCATTCTTTCACCAAACAATTCAGTTCCCAAGTCTCTTCCTTGAGCTTCCTTGGCCGCCCTATCCCCTTCGGTCGCGCATTTCACGTCGAACGTCCTCCACGATATATTCGATCATTCACCCCTTATTCTGACCTGTCTATTGCATAAAATTGACCTTACTACGCTGTTATTTTCTGGGCATTTTCAACACTCGCACATACATGTCTCTCACAACCGACCGTGACGTCGACCGCGTCGAACAGAAGATTGCGGAAGCTGTTAGCGTACGCATTACATCCTTTCCAGTCGATTTGGCTCGCATCCGTTGTGGACCACTTAAATCAATTCTTGCTTGAAACAAATGTTTTTGTGCACCAGCTTGCTGTCGCAACGAATTGGTACGGTGCCTATTTGGCTTGGGTTGCGGAGCTTCCGCTCATTGGATGATCTCCTTGTGCGCGTGTCCGATGTCTGACGGAACAGGTCTGATACAAATTCTTGCTGTGTTGGTCGAAACCACATAATCCGGTATCCATCTGAGTCTCGATTTTTGCCCTCTCATCCTTTCGCCTTTTCGTATTCCGAACCGGGAAATCCTGTTCCAATTAATATATTCATCGACAGCGACATAGTAAGGGACAAAATGTGCTCCCCTGTACATCACCACGGGAAAATCCTCGTTATCAAGCACGACAAAGTCAAATCGGCCATGCCCGTGTTCGAGATTGTTAATATCACTCAAGAGGATTATGTACTGTTTCAACCTTGTTGGATTTTTACTTACTACGAATGGTCGCGGACTAACTCTGCTGATTTTGTCGAACACGCTTGTTTACTGCCAGTTTTCGGTACCTAGCAACTACTACTCGTGTCTCTAAAACTGAACATGGCATTCGAGCTTACACATACCACATTTTCTTGCGTTGTGGCTAATCCAACGATGCCCACTCCTTCCAGTGCGGGACCCAGGATTGTAAGTGACTCTGTTATCTAAAATCCACATGCATGGGTTCACACAAATAGCATTTGTTGCTGGTTCCTATCCTTCACCTGGACCAATATTAATCCGGAAACGAATGTCTACAACGACAGCACGGGTCAGCAGTTTCAAGGTAGCACGGTTTATTGTTCTCTTCAAAATGACTTCGCCATCCCACAGAACGAGTTACTATACGTCAAAAGAAATTTCGGGCTCTTCGACGCCTCAACACCGTTGTTTCTGCAGGCTGTGATCACTGGCAGCGCAGATGGATCCTTTGTCAAGATTGACCTGGACGCACGCGCAGAAATCGTACCTTACATCGTACAACTTCGAATCATTACTTGAGTGTCAAAAGTGAGTACCACAGATGGTGTGTTTTGCATCTACTTGAACCCATTCTCTGCTAGCAAATTCCATCGTACGCCGCATGCAATATAGACTATTCGCCTTCGACAGCGCGGTCTACGATCATCTCGACATTCCAGAGCACTTCAGTTTGGTGTCAGAGTGCATGCTGCCGGCACCATCATCGTCCATGAAGACGTTCACGTCGTCGATAATGTCGGTTTCCGCTATCGGTTTCAGTGGTCAAGTACCTAAAACAAATTAGTTCAAGTTTCGCCATTGCATCTCGCATCTGAGAACTTACATACTTGATCCCGGTCGTCTTTTCGTTGACGCAACGATGCGGTCAGCCTTTTTTTGCAAATTGATCAAGATAGTTTTTGCTCTTTCTCTTGGAATTCACGAGAGCATTGCGTATGTTACGAACAGAATACTGGGTTGACCTGACCTGGTCCTGGTACCTAATATCGATGCTAGCTCCCCGACTCCGGTCTGAACTTTGCTTTTTTTTTTTTCGGCATCATCCTCCTGTGAAATAAGATACACCCGAATTTTCTACACGTACAAAAAGCTCTAGATTGAGTCGTATGACTTCTAAGCCTCGTTTTACTTGCGTCCAACATTCGACATGTCTTCATCCCTGCTAAAAAGATGAGTTATGGTGTGTCTTGCGGCTGTCTTCTGTTCCGCACCAGTGTATAGCCAATATACTCCTGCTTAGTTCGACTAGGGAAATCTGGGCTCAAAATGAGCTTGATGACAGCAGTGACGAATCTGCTGCATACCAAATCGTTAACAACGACGCACGTTGTTCTCGCCCGTATGAGATGGTGGGGTACCCCGTTCGGTACATTTGAACAGAAGGCTGCGACTGGCGGTGTGGTTGAAGGAAGGGTCGAAAGTACCCTTTCATCTGATAGTGCTGCTGCCAGTACGTATACACACGTCATGCCGCTGCAGACTGAGCTGAATTCAATGTGTTGCATTTGTACATTTGTAGACGACACCCATGCTGTAAACCTGCGACGCTTAAGCGTGAGGTTGGATGGTGATCCATTTTATCCACTTGCAGGAGACTACCTTGCGCGAAAGGGTAAAATTGCTGCAACTTATCCGATCAAGATTTTCGACCCAATACTCGCGATAAATGCTCTGCAATGGACGGTATGAACATCGCCATATATTACCCAATGTTTGTAAATGTACGGAGGGAGAACATCGTCGACCTCTGATAACGGTGTGTCGATGATAAATTTGAGTGGCACCTGAGCGATTATCGACGGAGAATGGTATTTCGTGGCAAAACGCAAAACGTCCTTCGTATGTAGGATAATATGAATTTTGTCGTGAAATTGCATGAAACCCATTGTTATCAAGCTTGCAGAGAAAGACAAAATCCGATAAACCTTAATGCAAACTGAACAGCATACATTGCATTGAAGATACCGTATTTGTCTGCTGCCTCCGCAATCAGTGCCAAAACCTGGAAGTCTAACTTTTCCAACGCTGGCGAAGGACGGATATAAATAATTTGAAACAGAATCTCCAGCACGGCACCGGAGTCAGATAATGCGACAATTTCGCCATGGGTGGATGTGCTCGACGAGGGGAACCCATCTGCAGCACATTCCAAATTCTGTTTGTGTAGACGAAACAGCCAGTTGTCGGAGGAAGGAATAGTGATATCCCAGGCAGCGCCTTCAACTACAAAAATAAAAGAATATTAAATGCTATTGTTTGCTACAACAAACGAAAAACAACACAAACACAGTGTACTGATCTTATTATCGTTGCAAATCCCATTCTGCCCGGGGATATTGCTTTCGGCCATGGTGATACAAAGATAGATGAAGTCGTGAAGCGAGGCGCTTGCAACGCGCTGCTCTCAGTTTTGCATTGTACGGTATATATTTGCTTCTATTTGTAACGCCCGCACTTCGCCATGACGGGAGAGAAGGCTCAAATTCTGCAACTGGGACTACCAAATGAAGCTCACATAGTTAGATGGATACATAATACTTCATGAACATATGAATTAAATTTTGGCACATTTCACACTGCATGATCAACGGTGCTTTCTTCAGAGTCGGGGATTTGCCGTGCCAGCACGGCGTTAAGGATCTGTTACTCCAGTGTTACTTTCAATCGTGTGACTGGGGCTTTCCTTTTGATTTTTACGACCATCGACATCTTTTCATCTCTCCACAATTTCGCTGCCTGTTTGGCTTCCCCGACTATCGTATCTCCTTGACATCGAGAACCTCGAAAAATGGTACGTCAATCTAGCAAATTTCCATGAAATTGTACCTGGCTCATTCTCCTTCAGGGTCAAACCCTTTCTGCACCAGGTATTTCCTGATTTTTTGCGATCACACCCCCCAAGACGGAATTCTCAAACATTCTTGATTATTAGCAACGAAAAAAACCAGCGAGTCTGGCGAAAATGACAGGTTCTCATACGCTATAACTGAAATGCAGGGATGGAGAATCAGTGCGTCACTATCGCTGCGGATAAACAACTATCTGACATCCGCTTTTCTTCTGCAAATAGCGATGGAAGACTCCCATGCCATTGTGTTGGATCTTGATGACGATAAACACGAGCGGAATGCTTTTTTTGCTGTTTATGATGGTCATGGGGGTATGTCATTTTCCCCAACCCTCTCAGTCTTCATCTGACGTATGCAAGGTGGAACGGTGGCCAAGTTTGCTGGCCAGAATGTTCACAAGAGGCTAGTCACAGAGGAGTCATACCAATCTAAGGCATATGACGCGGCTCTCAAAAGGGCTTTTTTGGGTACCGACGAAGACATCCGCGCTAGTGAGTTATTGCGTTATATTCTTCGCTATGCTCACTCACAGCATGTATACCAGGTCCCGCACATGCACGAGACCCGTCGGGATGCACTGCCGTGGCCGCATTAGTGACGAAGGACAAAATATACGTTGTACGTACTGATAGCCCATTTTGCTGTTCATCTCCGGTAATCTGTCTTCACAGGCCAATGCTGGCGATTCGCGATCTGTTCTTAGTGTCAAGGGAGAAGTGAAACCCCTCAGCTTTGATCACAAGCCAACGAACGAATGTTAGAAACTCCCCATACAATTCATATTTACCCTTTTTGATTTGAGATGCAGCGGAAAAGTCCAGGATTTCAGGTGCTGGTGGATATGTTGAATATGGTCGTGTCAATGGTGCGTTCATATAACATTGTTTAATTATAAATTGCGATAACATTCCTCTGCAGGCAATCTCGCTTTGTCCAGAGCTATCGGCGACTTCGAATTCAAGAAGAATCCCCACCTTCCCCCTGAGAGGCAGATCATAACATCAGATCCCGAAATCACAGTACATAACATTGACCCAGAAGACGAATTCCTTATCCTCGCTTGTGATGGTATTAGCCCATACTTCAGTTTCAGTACATCCATTCTGACCTTGTTCTTTGCAGGGATCTGGGACTGCTTGTCCAGCCAACAAGCTGTCAATTTCGTCCGTTCCAAAGTCGCGGAAGGCAAAGAGTTGAGCGAAATTGGGGAAATGATGTGTGAACACTGTCTCGCTCCCGATACATCGGCCGGAGCTGGTATTGGTTGTGATAACATGACAGTGCTTATCGTTGCGCTTCTTCATGGACGCACAAAGCAAGAGTGGTATGCATGGATAAAAAACCGGGTTGACAGCAAATACGGTTTTGATACTCCTTCGGTCCTTCCCCAACTCTACGCTCAAAGCCGTCTCACGGCGTTCAAAGCACGGCGAGAAGCACTACAAGCTCGAGAAGCGAGCTTGCTGGAATACGAAGAACAGCCTTCGTTCCTGTCGCCTGGCCTTAGTTTTACTCGAGTGTTGGGTAGTACTGGTGGGATCTCTTTCAATCGTGAAAGTGGCATTCTCAGCAGTGCTACCTCGTTGATGTTCACAGGAGACGATAGCGACGATGAAGATGATGGCGAAGACTCGACGAGTTCCTTTTTCACGGAGACTCTGGGTCTTGGGGCAACTCTCCACGATGAGGACGACGATGGCTTAGACGCTACCCAAAATCTTAAAGCCAAACTCGAAGAATTTGAGAAAGATATCCGGCAGGATGGAAGTGACGACAGTCCAGATTCTGACAGTACTACGGAGGGCGATACTTCACATCCCAAGTTGCAGGGTGAGGCTCCACCACCTCCTGCCCCTCAGGCAAATGGAGGACCTGTAACACCTGCTCCTCAGTTAAAGTCTGAACCAGGTGGAGATAAAGCGAGTCCAGTGGTTGCAGCAGAGGGTCTGATGGATACTTCTGAAGATCCCCTGAAGGTGTAACATGCTGTATTGCTTCTGTATCATTCTCTCATAGCTTATTCCCCACTCTCTTTTCTCTTATTCTGGGCTTCTATTCAAGTGCACGTTAATCATCGTACCGTTGTCCCATTGATATCCTTCGTGTAGCACATTGTACCCGCATTGTACATATCTCAAGTGTTTGCTGGAGTAGGCGGTTTGATATAATCGTCGACGGTATAATTAATATATCTTTCGTATTCATGTACATGTAGTGCATCCCCTCACGTTGTTGACGCCGTTTTATGCAACATATTTATCATGCACACAAGAAATCAATTCTACGTAGGCAGCAACTTACATAGTAACCACACCACAAATATCACATACTCAACGTCTCTTTTTCTTTGATGTAGCTTGCCCCCGACTACCACGACCACGTTGAGAAGGTAGTCCTCGCGCAACAGTGGGAGGTGTAGTCAAAGTGTTCGCTTCACTATTCATTCCTGATGATACCCGGTCTTCGGAGTCAGTGTCCGAATCCGCTGGACCGAGTAACGAGGGGTCGGGAATAACAGGACGATGAGGGTTTGTCGACATTCCGAGTGAGTTGTAGGAGTACTGGGCCTCCAAGCCTGTTTCGGGTGAAGTAGAGCTTGCATTAGGATCAGGAGACGATGCCAGCCCAGGCCTCGGTGTCTGTCTGGGGGTGAAACCCGAAGGGATGAAGATCCCACCGCCTCCTAAAGCTATTGGAGTACCGATGTTTGGAGATCCGAACGGAGCAGTGGGTAATGGCGAGGGATCATCGCTCTGCGCAATGCTCATTGGGTGCAAACGCGGGGATGGAGATTGAGCCCGAGGAGACCCAGGCATAGGCATGGGGCGCTCAGCGTCTTTTGCGCTCAAGAATTCGTTCAAGGGAGCTCGTCGTACGCCTTCCTCATTATCATTGTGAGCAGAGCCTGGAGGGGTCTGTATAATGAATTAGACAAATTGTGAAAGTCATTGTTTGATGATATCCCGAAAAGGCGTACCGGAGATAATATAGCTACGCTGTAATCACCACTACTACTTGACTGTGGCGAACTAGCTTCTACCTGTAATTCGGGAGGAGCTAGAGTGGTGTACATTCCAGTCGTTGGCGGAGCTGCTGCAGGGGGACTTCTGGTGTGTGATCTGGTCCCAGCTGTACGGCTACCGGAGGCTGCACTCGTCTATCCACAAGATTTGAGCGCAGATCTCGAAAAAGGGTATTCTTACCATCGAGGATTTCCTACTGGGTTTGTGCGATGACTCTTGGGAAGTATGTGGTGAGTACGATGGCGCGGGCGGTACAAATTGCGGTGGTTCCTCTTGCGTAAAGGGCGTACGACTTCTCTGGGTCGGTGTTTGTGACCGTCGACCATTACCTTGGCTAAGCTGGCAGAAGTAACGAGTCAGATTTTGAAAGTCTGGAAGTAGAATAGAATGCCATTCTTGATGAAGTTATCCTTACATATTCTTGTGTATCATTTGGTGTTTGGTAGTGCGGATTTGTATATATGTTACCTATCTGCGGGGGCGAATAAGGTCGGTGGCGGCTCGAAGGAGGACTCTTGGCACGTTTAGATGAAGCTATACTAGACTAACCGGGGGAATATTAGTGCACAAGACGGTAGCAGAGTGGACGGTATATTCAACACACCATCGACTGTTTATGTCCCACTTTCTGGGTGGGGTTCGTAGAATAATAATTCACGTTTACATCCGGAACATTCTCTTGTTGAGTCCGTGGGGTTTGCATAGGATGTGGCATTGGAATCGGAGATGGGGAGCGGCGAGCTGATGTTGTACTGCGCTAGAAGAGGGATGATAGGGATGGGAAACTAGACGATGAACCATTCAACCTACCATGGAGCCACTTCTATGAAGATCGCCTCCGTGCATTGAGGGAGGGTTAGGACTGGTAAAGCCACTCGCTACCTCAGGAATTGCACTCATCGGACTAAGATTCGCCATTATATCTTGCGGTTCGGTTAGCATGTCGAACTGTGACATAGCAGTAGAACTGGATTCTGGTGAAGACTGCCCTCGATAAGAATGGCTCGGACGATAATCCGAACGGGTAGCATACATCGGGGTGCGATGCGATCCCGGTGGGGGGACTATTCTAGGTTCTTCGTCTAGTTCCTGTGGAGGAGGAGGCGCAGGAGAGAGTTCCATAATTGGAGGCATGGGCGACAGTTCATGAGGAGGCGGAAGCTGAATCCCATTTCCAGACGCGTTATCAAGGGGAATCATGCCATCCGGTGGAATATTGACAGGAGGGTGGCGAGGTGACATGGGCATGTTGTGGATAGGAATTGGGTGTATCTGACCTGTTGCACTACTTGGGGGGCGGGGAGGTGCAACTGGAATAGGAATATCTTGAGGGTGCGGACTAGGCTGGGGGTGGGGCGATTCATTGCGAATGCTGGGAGGTTCAGAGGGCATAGGTCGTGGCATAGGATCTGGTTCTTCGCCGAGTTCATCACTGTAGAATGTACTTCGATCTTCATCGCTCACGGAATCTAGGCGGGTCCTACTTGGAGGTGTAACATAGCCATCTTCACCTATGTCCAGAAAGCCTACTTCCGCTCTAGCTCGTTGTAAACCTTCTCTAAAACCTATTCTGCGACCTTCTTCTCGAGCAGCCATGACCAACTGTTCCTCTCGTAGCTCTCTCGCAGTACGCTTATATTTTGCAGCATCCTTCTCAGCCTGTACACGCCGCTCGTCAATAGTTTTGACGATGTTTCTTGCCCTGTCTATGTCATTTTGAGCTGCCAGGAGCTGCAATCGATACAGTCTGTCACAAGCGCCCATTAATACCATTATTGATTAACTTTAGAGTTAGAACTTACTCTCGCTCTTCTGTAGCAATGGCAGCATTGTGAAGAGCTTCAAGGCGGTCCTTGTTCGCCCTCATGAACTTGGAGGTAAATTCCAACAGGTTCATCTCCGCCTCTTCAATACGGCGTCTCTGAGCTGCTAGTTCCTTCTGTGCTTCATCCAGGCTTAGTTTCAACGAATCTGACTTGTTTCTTTCTACAGCCAGAAGCAACGCTAGCTCTCTACTGGAGGAGGAAGTTTTGTAGTGGTCCCTTGAAGAGCTCGAACGACTGTTCCGAGTGGTTCGGGTCTCCGTTGAAGACCTGCGAGATGTATTACCAGAGGAAGTCATGGAAGTTCGTATAGGAATTGGCATTGCCTCGTCCCTATTGTTCGTGATATTGGCGTCTAGAATACATAATAATCACCCAACACGCGCTTGCAAAAGTAATAAGTAACCGATGATTTACCAGTCATAAACGAATCAAGAAAGCAGATGGATATTAAAGATAGATAGAGAGTTGACCCAGCGAGATTGTAGACGTCGAAGAACGCGAAAATTAATCTCTTTTTGTGGGCTCCTGATCATGTCGGCTCGCGTCGGGTACATGTGACCAAACCTCTTTCTCTCATGAGCACTTTTAGGGTTAACAGAAAGTTGCTGAATCCTAAATTTGAAGGGTATAAGTTCGACTTTGTTGACCAGAATCAAGTCGTAGTTCGGCACCCTCTCCAGCATTCTGCTTCTCAGGCGACTGCCTCCACTCAGTCTTGGCTTTCATTCCATGAAGTCCAAAGCAAGATCACTCATAATCATCTTGCACTGAACAACGAAGGAACGAGCGCTGTCTATGTGGATGAAGATTATAATATAGTGTTGATCGATATAACTCCAGTAAGTGAGTATATTTCAATCCGAAGACGGGCTTTTGAAATCTTAACGTTTCAAGTAGGAAACTCTTTTACCTTCATTCAGAGTTGTTTATGAGCTCCCAAAACCGATATCTTCATCCGTCGCTGAACTTCATTCAGAGTATCCCTCCGCTTCCTACCTATCCTCTGACTTTTTACTCGTCGGTGATGGATATGGATATATGTACTTGCTTCGTACCTCGCTTGGCGCTTTCAACCTTGCAGGAATTTACCAACTGGTAGTGGATGGAAGTATTCAGCCTTTCCTAATCAAATCCATTGATTGGGTATCGCCTGATTCTGCGGTTGCACTATTATCCTCCAGTCATCGCGGACTAAAATCAGACGCTTCTACGAAAAAGTCTACGCCAGTAGATTTTGATATATGGGCTGCCGAAGTGAATATATCGCTGAAAGAACTTCCTGCGGTTGCTCAAACGATGTCCGTTCTGTGGAATCGACGAGGAGATGAGGTCCCGATTCTATCCAAGTATGATGCGTCCCGCAAAGCCTTTATGCTTATCGGCGGATCTCCTTACCGTGACTTGAAGGTCGTTACTTCACCACCATACGAACCATCTCCCGATGAGGTTGCCCCAATTCCTCGAACGGGTGAAAACTTAAATGCTGATCCTGCAAGACCGCCGCCTTATTCATGGACCCAGACTTCGGATTCGGTCACTGTCGCATTTCCTCTACCCTCTACCACGCCGAAAACCGCGATCAATGTCAAGTTTTCAACTACTTCGCTGATACTTTCTATTTCAGATTCACTTTCAGCGCATGTCGTAACATTACCGTCATTTTCTTCCAAAGCGTTCTGGGATGGCGTATCACCATCTTCAAGCTACTGGACGTGGGATAAGGACGCTGAGCATTCTTTTGGCATTCTCACTCTGCATTTGGATAAACAACATGAAGGAACCAAGTGGATGCAGGTGTTCGCATCCGCAGGGAAATCCGCAGCAGCTGAGTTATCCCCAGAAGATGCGGAAGTGCCGGAGACCCTTGACCCGTCTGAGCTGTGGCATATACGAGAATCTTTGGAGAAATACACTGCTGCCTTGCTCACTGGAGAAGATGCGAGTGGTCTAGGTTTAGGCCAGGGTGTTCCCAGTCTTGCGGAAGGAGAAATGGATGAAGAAGTTGATTCCTCAGTTGGGCGCACGGCAGTCATAACTTGGGTCCACTTGGATGGGTCGTCGCCGTCCTGGTCTAATCCAGGCCATGAAGACCCCTTTACACTTTTATCGACGCCTTTTCCCGGCCATCGCATGCGCACTCCGTTTTCACTCGTGTTGAAAGAAGGGCTAGATGGACCGACCTATGCGCTTCAGCCTATATCTACTGAATCGGATTCTGATACTGCAAAATGGACTCATACTTCTACCTTCCCAGCTCTTGGTTTCGTGCTAGCGTCTAAACAAGACGTTCGTTTTACCCACCACAACGAGAATCTCGTGTTTGCGCTGGAGAGCGGCCTGCGGAATGGTGGTGGGAATATGTATGTGTATCGATGTGCCAAGCCCTCGGAAGTTTGGGCAAAGCAATCGATTCTAAAAATTGGTGATGGTGCTGGCGGGGCTTTACTTGGTGTTGGTGCTTTCCGCATTGGGGGACGTGATGTAATCCTGGCTCTCACTGAGAGGCAGCTGGTAATTGTTCAAACTTGGTAAAAACAATGTAGTTGTAACTTGTATCCCAATCGTACCTAGTAGCCTTTATGTAGGGTTAGGGCTGATCAACTCAAAAACGTGACTGATTCAAGACTGGAACGGGTTCAGATTCTCAACCCGCGTCTTCACAATGGCATCCCCGAGGTCGCGTACAACGACACCTATACGTGCCATACCATCCAATTTGGCTAATCGAGCCTCTCCTTCCGTTGCCCCTGCGTCTCAAACATACGAACCTTTGATAAAGTCGATCCTTCGCCAGCGCCTCACGAACCGAATCTTCACAATTTCAGTAGTTTGTTGTTGGCTGCAAACTACTTTTTGGACAATCTGGGGTATTGGCGGTCGTGATGCAGTGGGTCTGAAGACGCTCTTAGCTGTCCCGTTTCGTCCGTCAACCCTAGTGGTGACGGCAATGACTTGGTTGGCAGTTGTCGTACCGGTCATTGTCATTCGCAAAACTCAATTGACTGGTATAAATTAATACTTGAAATCCAACACCATTATCCTGAAATCTTTATTTCCAGCATCACGAACGATTGCTAGTTCCCCTGCGAAAATATGGCATTCAGCTAAGTCAAAAAAGTCTACCAAATATGCCTTGATGACCTATTCGGCCTCCGCAATTGCTGGAACTATCCTGCACGTTCTTTTGGCCTACATAAATGAACCAAAAGCTCACGGGGATCCCCGTCTATCACTCTTTGTGAAATCCAGGTTTGTGTTGTGTCTTTTGTTGTTTCGAAAGACGTTGAACAAGATCATCAGACGTTATCCCTACTATCTCAATGGCCGACTACTATTTCTTCTACTTTCTCAGTTAACATTGGCATCTGGTTCTCTATTGCGGAATGTTATGCTCGATCGGTTTGCCTTTAAATGGTCAATTGCTTCGGTGAGTAATTATCGCCTGTTTCATGAGAAACACTTATTCGGTTCTCAAAGAACCAATATCGACTCAATATTTTCGAGTTGATGCGGGTATTTGTCGTGGTCATCGTGTTCTCTTCTGCGTCCCTCGTCTGCGCGTCCCTCAGTTTTGCCACCATCCGAATATTGTTCCCGGTGCTATATAGATTCCCGCTACTTCCTATAATCTTGCGGCCTTTTACAGGCCACTTCGTTCGGGGATCCATAACTTTACTGCTACCATTCTTTCACATTGGGCTGCTGTTCCGAGCATGGTTTATCAGCTTCACCACGATGTTTGTCTGGGAGATTTCCGAATTATTGTTCGACGTATTGATTCCTCAGGTGTGCACCGTCGACTTTTGTGCCTCTGAATCGAACTTACATACGTGTTTAGCCTATCAAATTATCGCACCTTATCAGCGACTCATCCGTCGTTTTGATTTCAGGACTGTCATCCCGCGATAGAACAATGAAATTCTTTGCTCTGTCGGAGTTGAAGGATATTGCTTCAGACGAATCACCAGCTGCTGCTGCTTGCCGTTCTGATTTATTTGCAGATCAAAAATACTCCCCCAATCAGTGGAGTCAGCTATGTCGAGATTGTCTTCTTTTACTCGGCAACGATTATCAACTATTGCTACGCAGAGGCGCACCAGCACCTCCGCCACCGGCAGCTTCTCCTCTGCCCAAACCAGAGCCTCCGTTACCTGCTACGCCTACTCCGTTACTAAGAAAAGACATCTTTCGAAAAGAGAAGAGCTCTCCCATCCGTGCTGTTCTCGACTCTTTTGCGTCAGATGGCCCTTTGGCGCAAGCAGTAGATGAAGGCACCGAATCTATTCATGTACCGCGACTTATTAAAACTGTCGAGGATGCAGTGTTGCCTCAGTTAGAGAAAAGCAAGGGCGAGGTGGTGAAGAGTGTCATTGGAGCAACAGAAATCATGCCGAAAATCACTGGAGGATTGAATGCGGTGGCCGAAGGCATAGTTGACCGTCATGCACCAAATTTTGTTAGAAGAACCGTGAAGCATTGGCGAGAGTGGTGGACAGAAGACAGATTGAGTAAAACTGTTGAAGGTTGTATACCTTTCCGAGAACTTGACGTGCTAGCTGTAGAAGGTATTTTTCATACCCATGAACCCATATAATCGCACACTGATTTTATTATTCATCAGTGTTGTCGCATCTAGTCTGTGCATCTCTCTCAGAAGATCGATACGGCGTCGTTCAACGCGATGCCCCCAAGATAATCGAAGCGATGCTATCGTTCCTATCTGCTATCGAAGAGTACCAGATGGAGCTCAACACACTCTACAAAGCGCCATCCCCAGATGCAAATTTATCACCGAAAGAGTTACAGGAAATCGAGACAAAGAGGATAGAGGTGGAGAAAGCACATGATGCTCTGGGTCTTGTTGGAAGCGGTGAATACTATTCCAATTATTTGACTCCTGGGACTCGATAATAACCTAGTTCTATCACAGTTTTGAAGGAAGGTGTGGCCCGGATCGCGAGAGTCTTCAGCGATAAACTACTAGCATTTAAATTTCCGCCGCGGACTGCGACCAAGTTGCAAGGGTTTCTAGATTATTGTTGACCCTTCTTCCAGCACTCTTGGTTCTAGGTTGAGAATATGAAGACCTTTAAACCAGTTGTATCAAATTGTGAGATATCTTTGGATGCCATTTCTAGACATTGCCCGTTCTTCAAGCTCATCGATTATAATGGGTGTTGAATTTTGGCCGCAGTGTTGCCCTGTCCGGAAGCTTATCAGTAAGAGTTCTCTACAATCACTTCCTGAAGCTTGTGTTTTGGCATGTACAAAAGATTTTCTATCAACCTCCCCCACTTTACATGTGGAAAATGCTATCTTTCGTATTCCCTGTACTATTTACAGTAAATCATACATAGCCATCTTTGTGTTGGATGTTGAACACATTATGAATTAGGTGGAGGTCCCAGTTTGAGTATCACTCTTGGAAGCTTCTTTGATGGAGCAGAGATTGGTAAGTCGACATCCGAGTCCGACATAGAGCTCAATGTACTAGATGATTCAGTGGACGAATCTGTATCCTCAGCTTGTCCTTCCGACCGAGTACTTTCAGTAACGACTCCTGGCTTGGTTTTCTTCCCTTTGCTTTTCGAAAGAGAGGAGTTTATCTTCCCCCGAGGCATACCCTTCCCGGTCGCTTCACTTTTTTCCGGTTTCGATTTCGCGGACGCTGGGCTCGACGAAGATGCATTCCCGACCTTCCTTTGTCGTAGCGTCCTCGACGACGGTTCTACGAGAATAGATTTACCTTTTCTTGGGGTTTTGAAAGGTATGGGCTCAAGATGCTGGAAAATGGATACCGCCTGTTTGAGCCAAGGCTCTGGTTCAAGGTCTGTCTTCGGCGCAGAGAGTGGTCCAGAAACATGGCCCCTGGGCTTCTTTGGCTTTGTAGCGTTTTGTAATGCGTCAAGGTTATCCTTATTCCACCATGTCTCGTTCCAGGTACGCTCTTCGGAGAGGCCCAGTGCACAGAAATGCGCGAATGTTCCTGAGATAAGTGCACGATCACTGTAACCGCCTTCCAGTACGCTCACGATTCGGCCTTTCGCGTGCTTTTCAGCGAATGCACGAGCGTCCCTGGTGAATTGAGCATAAAAGTTTGTAGGCACCTTTCGTCCATGTCGCGACATGGATGCGTATTCGTGCTCCGATGCATCGAAGCCGCAACTTGGAAGGAAATCAATCTGTGGCCAGCACTGAAAGAATTCACATGCCGTACCTGATGAATACCAGCACATCTTCGTTGTTCTTCGTAGCTGTGGATTGGACGAATTCCTCCGCCTTGTGGATGATTTTCTTGTAATGCTCTTCGTACAGGCCCCAAAAATCACCCTCTTTGGCATGATCTTTTAGATGTACATTCTCGATCCATTGTCCGTGTGCACCTGATATTGAAACTGATGCTGCTTGAACCATGGAAGGTGTTCCATCTTCACATGGATACGAAAGGATGTCGTGGATGGATGAGTAGTATACCTGCAAGCCAGGAATAGTTGCAGGGAATGAGTTCCCAGCCTCTATCCTTGCCTCAGCCTCTAATTTTTGTCTCTGTGTCTCTTCGTTTATGGCCCAAGCAAGAGATTGGGTTCCGTTGCCTTGCGAAGAATGAGCGCTAATAATTCAGGGTGCATTTCGATGAAAACATACCATGATGAAGGTCGATATCGAAGATGACGACGCGATGAATTCCGTGTTGGAGATGGGCATGGGCTGCTCCAACTATTACGTTGTTAACGAAACAAAAACCCGAAGGTGTATCTTCGCCACAATGATGCCCAGGAGGACGAATTGCTACAAAAGCGCGTTTGGATGACGATGGACTAGGGTCAACTACAGTATCGATGGATTCGCACACGGTGCCTAAGGCACCTTGAATTGCGTTCAAAGATTCTGGACAGACTGTATAGAGTATAAATCAAATGGAAATACGAGTAACTCGGTTGGGCGCACGATATAAATCCCCCTGTGCTAGTTCTTGAGGAATCTCTGAGTCCCCTTTCGATATTTTCTCTATACTATCTTCTGACCATTTCTTCAAATTCCTGAGATATTCATTGGAATCCTTGGCTGTATTGGGATCCGGAAAACCATGAGTGAATCTGACTGCGGGATGATTGAGTATATCGAGAGTGGCGGAGCTGTGAACGACATTTATCGGGGCTGTGATGTCGCTCGATCGAGAGCCCAGGGTTAGTTTGTCCAGTGCAGCGACCAAGTCATTCGGATCCCCTGTTGACTTTCCGACAACTTCCTGTATTCGAGTCACGGCGGCAGCCAAGCCAATTTTGGCTGCAATAAGCCGTTCAGGGCGTTCCACAATAAGCGAGGTGTCTCTAGATCGTATATATCGGTGCTGGTAGCAGGCATCTTGTATGAATATTGAGGCGTTGGCCATTATAGTTCTGATTGAAGGGTTGATATTGTTGAAATTTCATTTCGTCATGACATGTGACCGCCGGGAGCTTAGGGCAGGCTTATTCGTGCCGCTCAAACTTGGTAACTAATACATCGTATGAAAAAGGGCTCTCGATTCGCTATCGAGGTTTCCTGTCTGATTATGCCTCAAACGCCTCTCTGATCCAATTCACTTGCCTCATCGTTGCATCACTAAATCCACCATCAGACTTTTGCGGCGACTCGATGTCAAGGATGGAGTCCTCATGTATCCCTTTCTCCTCAATATCTAACGTGACAGTCAAATTCTCTTTCGGAATCTGCAACTCCTCAATCATGTCAAATATACTCGTGGCGTCATCCAGGATGCACTCCCGACCTCCTGCCGTTATCAATACACGCGAAACCATTGTCTCCAGTCCTTTGAATGACGATGAAGACGAGGGTTTGATCCAAGGGATGTGTGATGGTTGCACCCGTTCCATGTACCATGATCCCCAACGCGTAAAGGCACTCGCGTTAACGAAATCGTATTTCGTGTTTCGTGCATAGGAAGGTGTAGGTGTACCAAGTGAGATCCAAGGTGACACAAGGATGATCCCTCTCAGGAGCCTCCGGGGTACGTCTATGCCTTCGATTGCACGGAAGGGAGATGGAATCACGTCTGGCACTGGTCGCAGAGTGTGTGTGATGAATTGAATGATGAGATTTGCACCGGCAGAATCTCCTATGAGGATGATATTCTCCGGAGACACACCGGAGGAAATTAGATGGGTGAGTGCGAGTATGAATTCAGTAAGCTGCGTTGGGAAAGTGGCCGGATGAAGTGCTAATGGAAAAGATGCAGGTCAAAACAGCGTTTCAATCTTGTAAGGAGTATCTCATACTGTACACCAAAGATGCAATTCCAAAATCTAACTCTCCGCCAGTCTCTTGGAGCAGAGCTTTCCGAAGACCAGGACAAAACCCGACCATATTATCTGTATGCGGCGACATATACCCTCCACCTAAACACAAACATTTCAGCAGCAGAATCAAACACTCCTCCGTGAAGCCTACATACCATGAATGTAGAACAGAACTCGATCTGTCCTTTTCTCCGTCAGCCACATCAATTTGGCGGTCTCACTTCCGCTCAGATCTTCAACTATTGGTTGGAGAGACCTCTTCTTTGCCCACTGGATATACTTCTCAGTGGATGGACCAAGGAAATGCTGAAGCTGGCGAGGGGAACAATGTGTTATGAAGAAGCTCGCGACTGCCTCTGCGATCACACGGTTGATCCCTTTACCTCTCGTGCGCGCGAGAAATGGGGAAAGGGCAATGGAAGCGAGGAGGCTGAATGCTTGAGGGAATAACACTTGTATAAGACCCTACATTAAGTGAAAGAGGAGACTACTTACGCAGTCGTAGGTACATGCCAACCAAAGATAGTCTCTCTTTGGGTGAGATCTTGGAGTTCATGTCGTGCATACTTAGTGGAAGCAGTTATCAATGAAGATGGAGGTGCATTTTCACTGTTCAGATGCCCCAAACCCTACATAAAGCGAAATGAATACGACGGGAGGAAGCTAACTCGGGGTCCATTTCAAGTTTACATACACAAAAATAACTTAGTGATGTTAATGATTTAAATTAGGAGAACTTTGTTCCAGCTTTCTTCAGCTTTCTTCCTGCCTTCTGAAAAACGAATATATATCACATCATTCTATCTTCACACCAGCCCCCATTGGTGGCTGCAGCTTCAGCCAAGACCGTGGAGGACCGTGGTCGAAAAGTCGTTACGACAAGTTTCAACTGCATCGAAAGCAAAAAAAAAAGGTGAATCGTGTTTGACAGTGACAAAATGTGCTGATACTGATGAGACGTACACGTTGGACCGGTGTATAGCAATCGCATCTTGCAAGTGACTGCTCACATCGCGATCCAATTGTACGTCGTGATCCTGCGAGACTCTCATCTTACGGTGCTGAAATGTTTACCAAGAAGAAACACTGCCTTCTTATTTCCCAAGGGGTTGTCTCGAGGGTCGAAAAGAATGATTACGACGTATCAAGATTGTGGATATAAATCACTCTCCCATACGAGGACGCCGAAGCGCTAGACGAAACCGCAGAGCGATGCGAACGTCTTGGCATCTCGATTGGGCCTTGTTGTGAAGACGCTGTCGGCGCAGACGGGACTGACTTGGTAGCTGGCCGCCCAGTGCCATTGACGTACCCGGATGAAGGATGTGAAGGCGGAAGGGAGAGCGGTTCGATCATCCAAGAAGACAAGGCAGGTTTGGCAACAGGAACGACGGTGTCACGCTTCCTGTGATGCCAATTAAAATGGGATTCGAGAATCGTCTGATGTTGTCTCCATCGTTTTCGTAGAAGAAAAAGAAGAAGGGATAGAATAAGTACGATGATGGGAATTGTAACAGCTAAAGCTATTATTTTACGTGAATCGCCATGAGACGCAGCCGTCACAGAAGCATTGGGCAATGAAGATGAGGGTGGAGCGGGATTAGAGTCTGAAGGAGATGGGGATTCAGTACTTCCAATCCCGTCGTCGAGGCTAGGGGCAAATCTGAGATGAGGTATGCGAAGAGTGTTCATAGGACATACGAATAGACGATATAATCGAGTAGAACGAGAGATTTTAGGGCGTTCATATAGCCATTCTGGAGAACCAGTGTATGTACTCCCAATGCAAGAGTATCAATTGAGAAAACAAGGTATCGGTACTCATAGATATCATTGAAGCCTGGTGCTGCTTTAGCAAAAGTGCCCATGAATTGTCCATCAATGTAGAATGCCATGTCCGAGTTCCCGTCCGGCGCCGTTGTGCTTTCCGCTAAAGTGCAGAATACATATACTGCTGAGCCTGAAGATGAGTATTAGCGAGTATGATCATGGCTCACATGCCAGTGAAGACATACCATTAAAAGTTATATTCGCAAAGAGAGGTATATTGGGATGATCGCTACTGCCAGCAGTCGGACTGAACTGAGCAGCCAATATGAGTGAATCATCCTGCGAGGCAAGTGTATGCACGTACCGTGCCATCGTGCCAGGTACCTTGAAGCATTTCCTCTGGATCTGGTTGTGCGGAGCACCCCGTACAATTTTGAGCTGCATTCCTTGCATTCCAAGCTCCCGCAGGGGAATAACGTATAGAAGGATCGCTGTCGTCAACAGTGAAATTATTCAAAACGCAGAACGCATGTCGAGATAAGAGTAGGAGTGTAACCCATAAAAAAGAGTGCATTGAGATCAATGAATGATGAAAGTGGAACACTTCAAGATACTGGTAGAAGAGAAGAGATTTGTTCGTATCCTGGGTCTCCGACTCGCGATTGTACTCCAGTTTTGAACTTTGCCTGTCATACTAGACTGCAGTGCTTTTAGAAGTGATCCAAGTTCCTGTGTTGATGATAGCAACAACTTGGTATGATACCATGATGGATACCATGCCAGTATTTGCATCCTGTCGATTTATTTAAAGCAACGCATGGAGATGAAATTGACTTCCATTTCTGCAAAGGATGGTTGACAGTAATGAATAGCAGAATCTTCTGTGGTCGGGATGAACAACGGTGACACAAAATGAAATCAGCTGAGGCTCGAATTCTTCTTGAACTGCAAGCAATTCTCCCTAGACTCTCGCTCGACTCCGTTCCTCAGTCTTCTTTCTGGTCATAATTGCATGTCTGTGTAGGGTGCTGTAGGTCATGGGGATGGTGGGCTCAGTGACTGTAGGTGACTGTCTGAGTTCTGAGTCTCACCTGGAAGGAGTTATTACGTAATGCACACACGAGATCTTTTCCCACTTTGTATACAAGCGCCCACGAGCGCCACACTCCTTAGCTCTCTTGCCTGAAACTTAAACTTCTATGTCGACATCCCAATCTGATTTCAAAAACAAAGTACTCTCTCAGTTCCGCGAAGAGCTGTTCTCAGAAGGCATACTACATGAAGGCGATACAATAGGCACTGACGATGGAACTTTGAAGCAAGTGGTCGATTCGTTCAATGAATTATCGTACACAAACCCCTTTGTATAGACGATTTCTTCGAGCCAGGAAGTACAACCTCAAGGACGCGAAGAAAATGTTTATCGATGCTCAGAATTGGCGGCAGACCGTTAAACTAGATGAACTCTATGAAAAGATAGATCCATTTGATGTGCGAGTTGCAGGCCAGCCGCTGTTTGTGACCTTCACTAATGAGAGCTTATTTAGTATCCTGAGCGTGAAGCTGTTTTTGACTGCTGGCCAATGTGGTGAGTGCTTTCCGTACTCCTGCAATACCTGTGTAGTGATTGTTCGCAGGTTCCACAAGGTGATCATCCAGTGTCTCTACCTTCTCGCCGATCAACACGCTGTTCACATCGTTCACAGACTGACAAGGCTAGTTATTGATTACCTCCATATCCTGTGGCTTTCTCATATCAAAATGTACAGCTTGGTCGTCCTCTCAACCTTCAATTCTTAGGTGGTCTTGATTTACAACGGTTATCCAAGGAAGGTGTCACACCTGAACGTCATTGGGAAACGATCATTGTCAACGCGGAATGTTTGACACGGGAAATACTCCCTGCCGCAGCCAAGAAATACGGCAAAGAGATAGATTCAGTGTTGGTTATCATTGATCTCAAGGGTTTTGGGTGAGCATCGTCTCCTCGATAGAATACTTGCGGCTAATTATTGTTCATTGTTCAGGCTCAGCAAATTCTGGCAAATGAAACATCTTGCACAAAAATCGTTCCAAATATCGCAAGATTACTACCCAGAAACGTACGTTCATCCTTTACGTGAACGTATTCAGTGCCAACGATCCGCGCCTAGCATGGGTCGTCTGGTCATCCTTAATGCTCCGTCGACATTCACCATTATCTGGAATGCCATCCGACCTTGGATAGCGAAAGAAACTGCAAATAAAGTTGATATTTTAGGTGCTGATTATCGAGAGCAACTTCTAGAGCTTGTTGATGAAGAAAATCTTCCGTGGGCTGTCGGAGGGAAGTGTCGTTGCGAGAGCGAAGGTCAGGAATCGGAGGGTCCTCGATGTCACACCAGTGCGACTGGGCCGTGGTTGGAAGGCAGAGTAGGTTGGGGTCCCAATGCGAAACAAGGGGAGGTCAAGCAAAGCAAGCCCGATAGCGAGACAGCAGACTCTGCACCAAAAACCCACAGCGAAGATGTTGAGCCCGACGTCGATTCCAGTTTTCTTCGTGGTGATTCCAAGCTAATAGACGGTCTTCTTACCCCCATTACCAGTGAAAGCAGTAGTTCGAAAGATACTGCGATCGAGGGAGGCAACGCTTATACTGACGAGGAGGAAAAGCAGATAGCGTGATATTTATTCTATATTTATGTATATAATAGACCTCCACCTGTATAGTAATGTAGGGTCGGTGTGCATTCAACATATAATGATACTTGGCCATATCTCATCTGTGGCGTAGCGGTTGACCATACCCACATCTCGCCCCCACCTACTGTACTGTTGAATCTTGTTATGGTCTCTGTACGTCGACTCTTCCTCAATTTCTATATACTGCAAAGACTTGGATCCCGCAAAAATTTCCTCGGCGCGTGCTTGAGGATCTTCGATAGCTATTTTGTTGAGACCCCATCGTATTGAAATTCGCAATACCTTTATTGAAGGCAAAGCAAAGACGGATGCGTCTTCCATCTATGAATGTAGCAGTGTCAATAACAGCGAGTCGATTCCACAATCCTCAGACTTACCTTATCATACCCCATTAGCTCGAGGAAGACCAGGCTCGTTAAATGCTCCGAAATGGAACACAGATGTGGTCGCATAAAATATCCTCCAAGCTTGAGGAATCTCAGCTTTTGAAATGACGGCGATAGTCCCACAACATCTAGCCCAGTGCTAATATCCCATGGATCATCCAAGTCCGGTACCCAGCGTAGATGTGTGATATCTCGGCCAGGAAGGAAAGCATGAATGACCCCATAAGAGCCAGCTATTTCTCGAAACTCAGGCTGCTCGTTTTGATCAAACGGCGCGGGAAACCGTGTGTCGTCCCATCCGCCCAGACTCAGACTCCGTAGGCTTTTTTGAGTCTGAAGAAAAGTTTGCATTTGTGACTCGTCTGAATGACAATGCCAATGGCAATGCTCCAGTTGGAAAGTGCACCCGTCCAAAAGGCCGATCACAGGCGTGCCTCCGTTCGTGCGGAACTGTAGGGTTTTCAAGTTCACCATTGCACGTAAAGCTTTTGGAAGGAGTTCCCAGTATACATGGTCAGCGCCGAAATTTGTTCGCCAGTCAATTTCGAATCTGTAGGAATAAACGAGACGGGCGACGCGAGGACAGTCTATGATTCTGTTGAGGAAGAGGACCTGGGTTTTTGCATTGTGTACGTGCTCGAACTTGCAGTACAGTGACCTCTCGGCCTCCACGTTGAGATGCTGAGAAGCAAGTAGAAGAGAAAGGAGGGTAGGACGGTGGCTGATATAGCCAATGACGGGTCGATAGAGTTCGACTGGGAAGTCCATTATCACTCCGTTCGATAAGTCAGAGACAGTTATAGGAGAGGACGGTAAATGACAACCTTGCCGTAAGTAATTGGGGAGGTACTAATATCCATATATGAGTCTGTACTTTCAAGGGTTTTCAATTCAATTCATGACAAATTTTATCATGTGAAATCACATGATTTATCGCGGACGCGATAACAAACTCGGATCGCGGCGCGGGATTCTGGTATGGAGTGCGTTGCTCTGGGTAGCTGAAGTGATCTAGAATGAATTAGAGGGACCTACAGTGACTAGGCTATAGTCCTCGTCTCAATATACAGTTTTTGCGTAGAGTTCCTACAGTTGCAAATAGCGATAAGTGATACTGTACAAAAATGAAATTGCACAGTACATACTCCCCGCCTAGGGATAAAGGTGTCATAATTATCCTTCCATCTTGACCACCTCCGCTTTCAATCTCTCCCTCAAACTTTTCCCAGGGACCGAAGAGGACACGTCAATCGTGCTATAAACACCTTTGACCAAGGTCGATGGATTAATGGCCGTGGTTGTATGTACAGTCTAGAGAAAGATAAACATTAAAGAACGACGATGTAAATTTGCACTCTCACTTTGCAAAACTGCCGCAGTCTGCTAGGCAGGAAGAGCACATCAGGAGCCACGTCCTCCATTTCATTATCCAGCCGAAGTCCCACGGAATGAGTAACATCTAGATTGACCTCACTACAGAGATCGAGGGGCACTGGGAATACAGGGTAGAAGCTGAAGACGTTGCACATTCGTCAGTTGGAGCTTGCAAGCACGTCTTAGAAGACCGGGCTCACCTCCGTTGCTGTAGAAGGTGTCTGCAATCATTCGCCAAGGGATCCGCACCATTATCCTCTGAGGTTAGCGAAACTACGGAGTCAACTTCTTGACCCCGTTTGATGATTTCTTCTTTACGAAGATGGAACAAGACGTCGACGCTGGTAGCACCGAAAATAACATCGTTGATTGAAAATACGCCAGGATTTGGAACAAGTCGAATGCGCTGTAAGACTACAGTGAGTATCGAAGAATGGTCAAATGAATTGACATACAGGATCAGACTTAGTGACAAGTTTTGAGAATTCACATTGAGGATATACTGCGTGGGTACCGATGAGGTCCCTCACACTAGGGACCAAAATCACAATCGATCCCGGAGACAAGGTCAAGAAGTCACGTAAAGGGTCAAGGAAAATGCGGTAAAATAAGTCTAAAAGCGCTTCGTCTATTTCACCTGACTGAAGGAGGGGATGAGCTGTGTCTACGAATGGTCCTATCTAAGGGGAGATAAGCAAAAGATACGCTCAGTGAAAGGTTTGACATACCAGTGTGAGCACTGATGGCTTTACCCGCCTGATCACTTGCATAAATGCTTCCCATGGCTTGTAACTGAGGTCCGTATCTGAGGTGTAAGGTCCACAAGCGGCGTACATGGAGAACGAGTCGTCGTCAGGACTTGGTTTCATGTGAGGTGAGCTCGTTAGTGAGGGCAGCTACAACCGAGGAATCAACTTGGCATAAATGGAACAAGGCCGCCGCATACATACTGCCAGGATTTCGGTAACTGAGAACGAGCTAGCTCCACCATTCTTCCCCTTGAAAGCAACTATTGCACCAGGAAACAACCCCAAACCCCCAGCTCCCTGTGCACCTCCTCTGATCTTTAATGCCGGGTCGAATTGAATTGCGATACGTTTACCAGAATGGTCGGAGAGTCTCCGTGAGGTTTCAAGATTAAGGGTAGATTCTGTAAGTTTCGTCTCTGAATCCAAGTCGTGAGTGATCCGTCCGACTACAAAGACCTCCTCCTAGAGGCTATTTAGAGTAAACGAACAGATCAAGTGGGTTTACTTACATCAGTAGAGTTGGCAGGATCATTGAGCTCTTGAATACCATAATGTTGCTGGATCAGTTCGGCCATTTCTTCTATCCGAGTATCCAAGACTGGAACCAAGGAGACAGCATTAATGTGCAGGGAAAAGAAAGAAGCCTGGTGCCTGCTACATACCTTGCCCTCTTTCGCCTGTCCTTTCAAACATGTATCGGTCTATAGATGTCATCAGCAGAGGATGTTGTAGCATTCTTGACTAACATACACGCTCGTTTCTTCTTGGATTCCATATCACTCTTGGGACCTCTAAATTTCACCATGCTGGGACCAACGACGCCTGATCCTTTCAAGCTAACCGAAAGCTCTGTGCTGTTGAACGTGTCTGGCTCGGCCTTGATTTGAGGTTCAAGTACACGCTGTGCAGCGTGGATGTTTCTACCCAGCGCGAATGGCATCTTATTCCGGTTTATACTAGCTACACCAGATGCTAGCGATCGTGCTGGAGTTTTCTTCTTCGCAGATCCGCTTCCTTGCTCCAGTTCTCGCTTGATTTGCTCCCGGACACCTGCCAAGGAATCCGATGTGAATCGCGCAGCCTCACGCACTGAAGCAAAGTTATTGGTATGATCGTAGGTTGCAGCCTCCCATTTGTACTGAAGATCTTGAGGTGTAATCCCGTATATCTCGCAGATCTTCTGGCCTGCAGATACAACGTCAGCGAGCATTAGAGAGAAGATCATTCTCGACGCACACTCTGCCAAAAGCTTCGGATTTGACGCGACTTCAAGACCAAGACAGTTCGCTATTTCTTCTTTGATTGAGCGGGCAGCCATATATTTTGTGCAAGGAGAGCGTGACACCTTTGTGACTAGACGCGTACGCGTGATCCCTGACACGAGATCTCTACGCACGAACCACACTGAATTGTGTTTCCTTCGATCACCATGCAAAACATCGCGCTTTCATCAACGACTGCTCATATGCTTGGACTCACCTTCGCCAGCATGTATGTCGGTTCAATATACGTCTCAAAAGAGGCTCGGCTTGTATTCAACGCTCAGCTCACAGCGGTTGATTCCACTGGCAAGCCCAGGGAGCGGCCAAGGGCAGACAATGAGCGCTGGAGGGATGACCCAGACGTTATAAGGGCTCGTCTCATCGCTGTGACAATTGCTACGGTACTATGCATCACCTCAGTCTGCTGGATCACTCAATCTATACCGGCTGCACTGCCTCTGTTGGGTCTCTGGCCGTCTTTTCCAACATCATTGACCTCCTTGCGACATGTAGTCGCCCCTCACCTTATCACGCCTCTTCTTTTTCTCGGCCCGTTATATGCAAAATTTCTTTCATTTTCTCCGCGGAATCACTGGCGAGGAAATCTTTCTACGCGCACAAAGCTGCTCTTCTGCAATGTCACTGGATTAAGGAACTATATTGTGGCACCAATAACAGAGGAAATTGTCTTTAGAGCATGCGTACTTTCCGTGTACCTCCTCTCTCCGACACTAGCCGCATCTCAGATCGGACTTGTTCTGACAACTCCTCTGAACTTTGGTGTCGCCCACCTGCACCATGCCTGGGACACGTATAACAGGCTTGGCCGTACAACTGTGGCTTTGAAACGAGCAATACTTATTTCTTGTGAGTTTCACTACGTCTTCCATCGTATTCATGCTAATATCATCTTCGAAAATGAACTCAGTATTCCAAATGGTGTACACGACGTTATTCGGTGCACTCTGTACCTACCTATTTCTTCAAACTCACTACTCTGTATTGGTGCCGATAACAGCTCACATTTTCTGTAATATCATGGGCTTTCCTGACTTTCGTGAAGATTTGCGGTTAGGAGAGGGCGATGGAAGGAAAGGGGTGGTCATTGCAGCATACTTACTTGGTGTTGTAGGATTTGTGTATTCGGTGTCACCAGCGGGTAGATGGTGGTGGTCTTTCGCTGAGAATAACGAGGTTCTATTAAGGTAGTAAGTGAGTATTTAAGATTCATGTATTTATGGTGGATTTAAGATGCAGATTGATACGGGTGTAAAGAGGCAAGAAATCGGTACATGATGATGTTGTATTGAGCCAGAACTGGGTACTTTTCAAGAATTCGGTTGGCCGCTTCACCTGCACCACGAGTCACCTCTCAATTTGTCCCTTCTCTGCACTTTGTCGTGCACTATTCGTCACAGTTTTTTGTCCCTCCACTTCTTCTGTCAACGTTGGGGATCGAGAAGGCCTGACTCGATGTCCAATAATGCCAACACGGAGAAAGATGACTGTAAGTAAGCATGCTACAAGACAATGAATGAGACTTCGTAGGTTATTAAGGGTTGATTTTTCTGCTTACCACACATGCCAAATGCAAAACAACTCCACATCGCTGCCTTGTATGCTGGAAGCGTTAGCCACTGCGGTCCACTCGATCCAATATCAGAGACGTCGATTCCGTTATCAGCTGCCCGGGACTCCAGAACGCGATCAAACACAACGGTTGAAACGGTTACACCCAGAGCTGTCCCAAGCTAAATCATAGAAGCTTTTAACAAGGGAATTCTTTGAGTATCAACGAATTGAAGCACGCACCTGAGTCATGGTCTGGAAAACCGCACCACCAACGCTCTGTTCATGAGGCAAACATTTCTTCGCCACATACATTGTTCCACACGCAAAAACGAAATCAGCCCCAATGACCGCAATGATGGCAGAGGGGAAGCCGAATGCCCAATAGACTGCATTGGGATTGATAACAGCAAAGAGGAGCGCGGAGCAACCTGTCAAAGCCGTTCCAGCAGCAACGAGGATAGTCATTGGAATATGGTCAACGAATAGCGCCACAAAACCATTGCACAATAACCCAGTGACGAACATTGGAACCATGCGAACTGTGGTGCGTAGAGGACTATATCCGACGTAGTTTTGGTAATACAACTTCAAAATAACAACCCAGTCAGCAAAAGGTTTGTAGTACCAGCGAAGAAAATGTTTACGATTGCCCAGTAGTTCCAACCTTGGAAGCAGCACCAATTCAGACAAGCGATACAGAACACGACTGCTACGCGTCCTCGCGCTCTAGTCCACAGTGACATCTTCATGATAGGTGGTGGGGTTGGGAGGTGGTGTAGAGCAAATAGTGAGAGAGACACGACATAAGAATTAGATATTGGATAAGGATTGTTATTTGTAGTATTTTGTACGCGTTCAAGATGGTATTGCCATATAAGGAAGAGTAGCACAAAGATGACTCCAACGATGAGCAGGGCGATGATATCTGGTCAGTAAGAAATCAGTATGTAGGACGTGCTAATAGTACCCATAGCATTGTTTTGTGATACTTACAAGGCGTAGACCATTGTTTTGGCGCGACTTCTCCTTGCCCGAGCACGAACACTATCAAAACAAGGCCCGTTGTCACCACTTGTGACTCCAGTTAGCGAAGGAAACGAAGGCAGAATGTAAAATCGTACAGAAAGCGCCTATCCAGTCAACACGCTGATCTTCTTCCGTAGACGGGTGATCTGGATTAAATGAAATCATGGCCGTAATCATCGACAACACGGTAAGACCCTACCCGTAACATAAACCGTTTTGTCAACGAAATAGAGGCTCAAATGACTTACAGAAACAAGATAGAAAGGTGATCGCCATGATTGTCTTCATAGATACAATTCAGAATGGGAGGGAATACTTGAAGGCATTACGCTCACGGAGTAAGCTGAGTCAGTAGACCTCCGAAGACAATACCGGTACCTCCGCCTAAAGGTGCACCAGCAGCAAATGTTGCAAATGCTATAGCACGCGCTTTACCAGGTGGAAAGGTGTGGGCAAGGATCCCTAACTGTATGAATATCAGCGGTGATTTCCAGAAGACAATCCCCGGCTTACAGATGCGGGAATGGTAGCTGCGCTACCAAGACCTTGAAATCCCCGTAGTATGTCGAGTGTCAGCGCGTCTGTAACATTCTATGAATCGCGTAAGTCACCGGGCTAGGCGATAGTGTTACCTTGAGCGAAAGAACAACCGAGTGTAAATGCTACAAGCCAAAACGATCCAAGTAAGAACACTTTCTTCCTCCCGTATAGATCTGCCAGACGACCAAAAAGTAACAAAAGACATCCCTGAAGTATCAACAATTGATATCATCAGCTCAAGCAGCAAGTTGTATCAGAACACCGACATTGCTTAACGGATTAGCTGCTACAACCCAATCGAGTGCGGCTTGAGGAATTTCTAGATCGTTCTCCATGGTAGGCAGGGATATCGAGACAGCAGAGTTGCTGGCCGTCTAAAGCAGGCCGTCAGCATCCCCATAAATCCCCTTTGTATGGTTCAGGATACATACGGTCGTTAACATTGCAAATGAGCAGCTCGTTATGACCAGTATTGTTTGCCACAGGGGCATGTCGTTCTTCCGCTCCAACTCCTCTTCAATATTTTGTGAGCGCAACTGGTGCTCAGGTTCGCCTTTGGACGCCATGGAGGTGGTACGGAGAAATCGCTCGGTTAAATGGAACTGGCTTACGCATTTTGAGGCCGTCTAGGTCGCGCGGTACCTTCTTTTTGCGACTGCTCGCTGCGTTCTGGTCTTGGTTTACGCCATCGGCACATTTTAACTTCGGCCCGGGTTCAAAGTAGGTGTCCTCAATCGGTACCGATTTACGGTAGATCTTAGTAAACTCGATTTGTGTTGTACCCAGTTTATTCTAAGTACTAGTACGTACGACAGCAGCAAGACTGTGAGCTGAATCATCCTGCATACGATGATCCTCCTTTACAGTACTCAGTCAAGCGCATCCGATAACGAGTTCGCAGATCTGACGACGAAGCCAAAATTCAAAATTCAATCTCAATATGTGTATGCAATATACAGATTTTTCTACGATAAAGAGGCACCCACGAGTGTTGGGGCCACACAGACACCATTTTTGGTCCGAATTTTATGCGTACTGCCTGTTACAGAGTTAACCCACGCAGCTTCTCTGGTTTCGAGGGTGATAAATCCTACAAACAAATTCAGACTGGATTTAGCAGATCCAAACACCTTGAACACACCTGGCTGAACCGTCTCAAAGATCTTCTTCTTGGGGTTCAATTGGGAAAGTGGAGTTGCATCTGATGAATATGTATATAGTTAGTTTCCCGAGAATTCATTTTTTACAAGTCATGCGCACTCTCGAATTCTGCGCCTTCAAAGTAGACACGATCCCCTGGTTTTGAGTTTTCTGGAGGTTGAATCAGCTCAATGCCACCCTCTTTTCCGTCTTTCGAAGTAGCCTGATTCCTGGGTTAGTGCAACTATATAATCATGTCCAAAACATATAGCTTACGCAAAGAACCATCGCAAAACTTTTCACGCCACGCATATTTGCGGGTTTGAGATTGCACTGGGATTGAGGTTAGAGTGGGACAGGATTACACCAGCGATTGACATACAACGGCAACCAAGTACTTGTTCCGCATCTGCTCAATGGGAATATAATGCACAAGACCGGAGACCACAGTGCGTGGGCCCGTCTCTTCGCCGATATCGATTTGCTTGCAAAAAACTTAATTGAGTCATGACTCGGTCGTAATTGCTGTAAAAATTCACCTCGATATAAAGTCCATCAGCATCCGGATGTTTTTGAACTATGATATGACTATGATCAGACAGTGCGCGACGTTGCGCTAAGAGCAGCTTACCATCAAGAATGTGGCCAACCCGGAGATCAATCATCGAGGGTACAGGCTCGCCTTCATCGGCAGGAGCAGCCTTGCCTCCTCCTCCTCCTTTCTTACTTTCCTTTTTACCCTCCTTTGCGGCGTCTACTGCAGGTTTTTCTTTCTTTTCCTTCTTTTCTTTCTTCTGAATTTTTCCTTCGTCTATGGGAGCTTCTGCCGTCGAAGTTGCAGCGGCAGCAGGCGCAGGCGGTGAGGCTGAGTCGACAGGTGCAGCTTTGTCTTTTTTTTCCTTCTTCTTCGGAGGTTCAGGTGTGTGATCGATTTTTGGCGTGTGGACGAGATCGAAGCTGACAAGAGTATAGTTGGAAGAGGCATCGGCGGCTTTCCGAACGGGAGGTATAGACTGGATGTGATCAAAATATCGAGTTATTGAAGGATGCGAATGGTATTCCGGGGGTTGTAGCTTCGACTGAATTTTATTCATCTATGAGTAGAGTTCTAAAAGATATCTACGTACTTACTATTATGGGATGTAACGCGCCGTAGAGAGCAACATCAGCCGCTGTTAGATAGTTGGTAGCAATGTACGTTCGGGGAAGAAGCACAGAGTTTAGATCCTGGAATTGCGCATTCGGTAAATATATAACTCTAATATTCACCTAGAAAATACGCACTTTGAAGTTATCTGCCTTGACGATATCTCCTTGTCCAACCTTTTCAATCCACTGAACGACCTCCGCTTGATCCTTCTCGGATTTCCCAGCGAGCGAAGGATCATCTTTGGCAGCAGACGCGACAAGATCTTTAATCGCAGAGCCAAGTCTTGATACTGAATCTTCAAAGGACATGACTTTTGGTGTTGATAATCGCGGTAAAAATCGAAAACGAGTCAGGAAGTTCATGCCTAAAAATGGCCAAATGTCATATGTACAAGCGCCCGTCGTCGAGTTCCTTCTCGATGTTTTTCGTTGAAGTCCATTCATACCGTACTTATTTCCGCAACATAGAATCATGTATTGTGTAATGTGTTAACTAATTTATACAATGAGCAAGATATATGTAAGAGCTGATATACATAGTAAGCTACAATGGGCTGGAAGACAAGTACAGTGTCCGTTCCAAGGAGATGGATATAGATCGAACGGTCGATAGACCCAATATGGGGGCTATCACTCTCCGCATATTCGTTCAATCAACAGTTATTTTTACGGAGCCCTCGTCTACAGACTTGGGCAGAGTTAGTGTAAGAACTCCGTCCTTCAGCTGAGCAGAAACATTGCTGCCGTCTACCGGCCGAGGGAGCCAGACGGTTCGCGTGAATGAAGAATTATTGACGAGCTGACGTTCGACGGAAATGTGGTTGCTTGATTCCATTTGATTAGCGACGGCATTCGTCGTGTCTGCTGCTGCTATCATAACACAGTCAATTTATGTGACAAGAGTTACAGAACACTGTAATACATACATGAATTAGTTGCAGGTTCTGCGTCGCTAGCGTTTCCGTTTTCGGAAGTTGAAGTTATAGCAGGCCCGCCGCGCCTACTGGTGACCTTTCCTTCAATGGTCACACTATGTCCATGGTCTCCAACACGGACATCTACGTTTTCCTTTGGCACTCCGGGCAACTCTGCTTCAATTATGTATTTATTCCCTTCTTCAGAAACGTCCACTGCCGGTCGGGCGAGAGAAGGTCCATTGAAGAAAGGATCATTGAAGATAGAGCTGTACCGTAGAGCAGGTGAGCGAGTCAAAGGTTCTTCCAACATTCGGAAGAGAGGGCGGAATTCGTTGAAAATCTGGCGTGTGATAGACATGATGTTTGTGATGAGTTTGAATCTTGAGTGATTTTGGCCTTGACCTGGTCACCGTTTTATATGTGATTGCATTGCGTTCGAGAATGTTGAAGAAACATAGAGAACATGTAGGATCTTAGACTCACGGTGGTTTCTCGAAGTCTCTCGAATATTGTACCGGGCCGGTTGTACCGAGGAGCGTAGGGTGATCCGGGCGGGACCAGGGCGGGTCGAATTATTGTCGAGGTCGGGCGTGAACGTGAACGTGAGAGCAACTGAAAAAAGTTGTTCTCTTCATCTGCTACCACGTCCTTGAAACTTGCTAACTCAAAGTTGTTCATTTCATAAATATTCACACCTGCCAATGTAAGCACGCATTTTGAATGGGCCTTTGTCTGCTTATCAATCTCGTCGTAGGTTATTTTTGCTGTCGTCTTTTCAGTATCAAACGCACCTAAGACGAGAGGCACGACATTAATTTCCAACAGTAATCCAGAACTGCGCGCTGAGTGATATGGTTCGATTAGTGGGAACAAACGAAGGACGCGGATTGAATTGAACTTACAAATGTGTGGATGATGCCTGATTCTTTATCTACAGTTTACTCACGTATCCCGCTCAGGCGCCGTTCGTCGACAGGCTGAAAGCTAAACATACTTATAATTTCGGAAAATCCTTGCCTATATCTGACACAGAACCCGACAGTTGCTCGGATGGACTACATACATCCTCACGGTGCAGTCAACGACAGCAGAGCAATATCAACTACCTCCTACTACCTCGGGTTCTAATTGCCGCGTGCTAGCCCTTTAAATTCTTGACCGGAATTCTCCTCTACCATCACTAGGATCCGAGCAATGGCAATAACAGAAGAGAAACCGGAGAGTACTCTTCGTGAGGATGTCGTTAATGCCAGCCTTGAGAAGGTCCTTGCTCGCCATGGACGTGTAGATCTAGCTCCTCTTCCTTCAGATCTTCCCGAAGATCCCCTCAACTGGTCATCGTTCCGCAAGAATATGCTACTAGCATTGGTAGCCTTTCACGCGTGTCTTGGGCCATTTTCTGCGGCTTGTGTTAGTATGTGCTTCAACAATCACTATCGTTTGCCTTTGCTAATCTCCATTTTTTCTAGTACCCTCGTTCGAGGTTTGTCGCGATAACTAACCGTGTCCGAATTTTTACGAATCTAAATCTGTGGTATAGGATTTTGTCGTCGATTTCGGCATTACATTGACTGAAGCATCGTATCTTGTCTCTGTACCTATCGTATTTCTCGGTAAGCGCTCTCGACATTCTGTGTGTCAATTAATTAATTAATCATGGTCTCATAGGTACAATTCCACTACTGTGGGCGCCGGTCAGCAAGCGAATCGGTCAGTTCCCGGTCTCTTCTTTCTCTCATTGCTCACTCTCTTCTCCAGGCCGCCGACCCGTCTATCTTGTGTCCATGCTACTATCCTCCGCCCTGCAACTCGCCTCCGCGTACTGCACTACATATGGGACATTGATGACATGTCGCGTCCTTGTCAGTGTATTCATCTGTCCTCCACAAAGTATCGGGGCTTCCACAGTTTCGGAAGTGTTTTTTGTGCACCAGAAAGGTCAGAAGATGGGGATCTGGGCATTATTGGTATCGGTTGGGCCGACCATTGCGCCGTTAATCATGGGCCCACTCGTTTGTACGTCACGATGTATGGAAACGCGTTCATCGATTGAGCTGACACGACTCTGTTAAATAGACCACACAGGACAATGGCAATGGACGTTTTACTTCCTCGCTATCATCAACTTTGCCCACTTCGTCTTATACATATTCTTCTGTCCCGAAACCTTATTCGATCGACCTGAACGGTCCAAGATTGGTTCCCCCGAAACTACTATGGATGAAGAGACCAATACTGGAAAATGGTACACTCCATATACGACTTTCCGTATACACAGTACAGAGCCGTGGATCAGGCTGCCTCTGGATGTCATTTCGCCTCTACGGTTTCTACTGAAGCCGACGATTTTGCTCCCCGGTCTTGCATATGCAATCACATTCACATATACTAATGCTAGTATATTCCTTACAGCGATGCTGTCATAAGCTAACAGGAAGTCCAACACTAGGTCCTACTCACTGTTCAAATCCCAGCGCTTTTAGGGCAGAAGTATCTTCTCAATACGCAACAAGTTGGTTTGCAGTTCGTTGCTCCGTTCCTCGGGGCACTGCTGGGAGAGCCTATCGCTGGATACGGTTCGGATAGATGGATGCAGTATCGCGTTAGAAAAGCTGGTGGAGAAAGAGAACCGGAATGGAGACTTCCTTTTGCCATTCCTGGGTTCTTAATCGCTGTGAGTTTATCTATCATGGGTCCCTTGCTCTGCTCATCACGCCATTCGTAAACAGATCGTAGGGCTAATGATCTTCGGAGTACAACTCCAGAATACACGAGCTGGAGTGTGGAATGTGACGCCGGATGTAGGATCTGGGATTGCGTTGTTCGGGCTACAGCTTGTCACCAGTGAGCTTCAAACCTCGACTAATGAAACGGTTTGTATCGTTCTGACGCTCTCTGTTCTGTTCATATGTAGCTGTTTGCACAACCTATGCCATCGAATCCCAACCTGGGCATACAGGACAGGCAGCTTTGATGGTCGCATTCATCAGACAAATGTATGCTTTCACTGGCCCATTCTACTTCACACTGCAGTTTGACTCCATGGGGACTGTGAATGGTAGGTGTTTGAGCCATATTGCCGCGCCCATATTGCTGAAGGTCTGATCTCTACTAGCATGTGGTCTTCTTTCTGGGTTGATTGCAATCGGGATGTGCTTCGTCATCATATGTATGATATTTGGCAGATCTTGGCGTAAAGGAGAGGAAGTCACCAATGATTCTGGAGATCGGGAGAGTGCTATCGCTGGGATTTTAAGCGATGAAAAGGTGAAAGTTTAATTTGTAGGAACGGCTTTCATACTGGACAAGTAGATTGAATCATTTTACCTCAACGCTCGACTGTGCCACGGATCTATTGAAATCATCTAAAGCATTCATCACTCGTTCCTTCAATCCTTCCTCTCCTTCTGTCATCAAGATCTGCAATAGTCCTTCGCCTCCATGTTGTTCTCGAACGATAGTCATGATAGTTTTTACTTTCCTCCAATTGCCCTTCGAATGAGTCCAAGCATTGACAACTGTGCCATTGAAACTGCTCTTGAGTTTCTTCCTGCCTTCAAATTCCTTAACATAAGCCTCCACCTCGTCCTGGCGACCAAACTCTATCAGTGCTTCCTCACGCACACGTTCACGCCGTCGCTTGACCTCCGCCATGTCCACCGAAGTTAGACCGCCTTCCGCTAATCGCTGCTTAGCCCATGCAACGAAATCAGAGTACATCGTCCGCTGAGCTTTGACTTTTCTGATGCCTTCTCCGCTCGTCTGGAAGCATTTGGGGTCAAAGAATCGACTTTCGGAAACCCACTCAAAGATTTGTTGCCGATTATCAAACCCCGAGTTTCGACGCTCGCTGGACCAACCAAAGAATTTTGAAATTATAGTAAAATCCTGACAAAGTATCAAAGTCGGATGAGGTGGATGTGGAAACTGGAATGATAATCGATGAATTTGGTATGGTCAAGATGAAAGAATATCACACACTTTGAGACCGTTTACGCCCAGTACTAATCCAACGTTACTTGCAACCAAGCCTTGTATCATGCCGAGGTCACCGTATGAGTGAAAGTAGACAACGCGTTCCCATTCATTCTTGTCCGCACAAACGTGTACATCGACCTGAGCGACCATTTCGATGTAACATAATTAGGCAGATTTAGTCTTGTGAACAATGGACTTACTTGACAGTAGATATCATGCTCTCCGGCAGATTGTCTACTCTTCTCTTCCTGCTCAGTACAACCTAGATGTCCCCACGCGCCTCGGTCAACTACAATAGCAAAGTTCGAGGTTCGATTGCCTTCCTCGAGAATACAGTGAGTTGCTCCCAATGCTGCTTTTACATGCGATTGCAGGCCACTGCACCACCGTGCATGGCAGAAACTCGGCTCCTTTTTTGAGGGTTATTAAATATTATGGAATCAAATAAACGGGGTGCCTTACAGGCGCCGACATTGAATGTTTATTGAGAACAAAATAAAAGCAAAGTCACGTAAACTACAGTAGCTATGGAGTAACTGAGTGAGACGAGAAAAAATAATTGTGACAGAGTCACAGTCTCGTGATATCCCGTGCCGGTCACAAGAAAATCAATACAATTCAACTCAGTGTTACTTTTGTCCGAATAAGGAGAAACTCCTACCATACATAGAAATTAATTTTGTATGGAGTGCCGTATATAAGGACGATACTTCCGTAAACTACAGCCTCGTAATTAGTTCATGTGGCACAT